GACGAACTCGCGCAATGCCTAAGGCAGTGAGTCCTTCCTTGTTTACTATAGTCGTCTCAGCCCTCACGTCAAGCAGCATCCGCACAGCCATAGGAATGTTGTTCATGACTGCGTGATGGAGAGCTGTCAGCAGATAAAAATCACAATAATTAGACAGGATACTCTAGTAAAACTAAAATGAAACCCAGAAGGTACCAGTGTTTCCGTCGGAATCTTGCACGTTAATAGTTGCCTGTAGACTCAGTACCATACGGAACGTGTCCAAGTGGAACTGTTGGGGCTGGCAAAGCAGCATCAGCGCTGTCTTCTGGCCCCCATCTATTCAACATATTGTAAAATCATCTTAGCAATAAAAACAACTGTCAAAATCAGTATTTTACCCACCTTGCATCCGTTGGTTTATATCCGAGTCCTTGGCCACCAAATACGCTGCCGTAATGGGGAAACAGCGTTGAATTGCCACTAAAAACGGCGTAAATCCAAGCTCATCTCTGAAGTTTGGGTCGGCTCCATGACGTAGCAGTAGTTCTACCGCGTAGATTTGGTTATGGGAAGCTGCCCAGAACAGTGGCGTCGTATTCATCTCCCCACCCAGAGCGTCCACATTCACTTTGGCCCTTAATTCTTCATTTCCTAGTAAAAACCTACCACAAAGTAACAAGCACAGTTATGCACATTGTAGTCATGAGTTGAAGAATGTTAGAACTCACTCCATAACGCCCATTTTGCCACTGATAGCAGCATGATGCAGTAACGTAGCGTTCGAGGTTTCATCGTAGGCATTGACGTCGAAATCCTGCTGCACGAGCTCTTGTAGCTCCGGAAGCAGTCCTAGCTTCGCGCAATCGAAGGCAGAGGGGGCTGAGAGCTCTCCGTTGCTCTTCGGCAGCGCTCGAGCCATGGTTTTCTCTTTCAAAAATTTTCTGAAAACGTCATAAAGCACTTTTCCTGAATCTTGCATAGCTTGTCGCCTACCATAATAAAAAATGATCAAAAGTGGTCCGAAACCAATGCGCACTTTCTATACAAAGTACTTTTTTTTTCAAAAAGTCGAAGATTGTCGAATCCCAGAATGTTTGAGCACTGCTATAGGTTAATTAAGTATGAGAAGCTAAACTGTTAGTTTTCACTCTTTTGTAATGATATAAGTTAGCTGTTGTTGAAGTGAGCAAGAATAGCATCTTATTTTGTAGTTTTGTCACTTGGAGATGCTGCATTTGCGGCAGACAGCAGGCCTGGTTGACTAGAGTATGCAGCGCGAAGGACCTTGTGTCCACCAGCAGAAACTCCAAGCTTCAGTGTCTGACTCCGCAGCTTCTCAACCTGCTCGTCCCAAGCACAACATCGCAGCAGCTGCGTGTTTAAGACTTTACGAGGAAGGTCAAGATTTTCTCGCTTACAAGAAGCAGATATATAGCAAGTTCGGGCTGCTTAAAATCCCTACGAGAAAAGCTACAATGGTCAACACTACTGTACCTACA